CCCAGATCCTAATCGTGCCGTCGTCTGAACACGTGGCCAGTTTCGAGTCCGTCGGACAGAAACTATTCAACGCATCCATTCGGGCAAAGGTTGCAATTAGTTAATTGTTATTCATTCATATTTCACCCCAACTTTGTTGACTTTATATTCATATTTGATTTAAGTATAATCTTTAATATTGTAAATATTGGTTCATTTATTAATTGTACTATTTCTAATTATATTCATATACCGAATACAACTAATAAAATTTCATTTATTTCAATGGATTCGTTAATAAAGTCGTTTATTGTTTAAAAAAATTGTATTAATTTTTAAATATCTATCAATCATTTATTTTATATAATAAGTAAAATAAAGTTAAATAGTATTTAATTCAACAAACCGTCATATTATAGGAATATAATATACATGTATTTTCCAATAGTAAATCAAATTCTACTATAAGTTAAAGGTATTCTTTAAATGAAGAAATTTGATTCGCAATCAATTCTCTCTCATATTATCATATGATTAGAAACATTACATAAGCTTTCAGTGATTTATTGATAAGAATACGTTAACATCTCTTACAATTTGTTACTAAATAATACGTTTGTCATCAGATTTACAACTAATTTAGTCGTAATCTCAATTAATTACTGATTACCGAATAAAATACTGATATAACCGATTGATAACTCAATAAAACTAACTTAAAGTGGACTTAATGTGATCCTAATTAAGTGCTTTTATAATTAATAATTTTGCGTTTTAACCAATAATTATTAAATTGTATGAAATAATATAATTTAAAATCTATAAAAACGTGTTAAAAATTTAAAAAAGTTGTGATAAAACCAGAGTTAAAAGTAAAAAAGATGTCGATTTGAACCGTTTTTTACATTTATTATAGAAAACCATAACATTTAAATACCGTTGGAATTATTGTTTATTTATTTATTTAACATTTAATTAGTTTACTATTTATTAACGAATTGTTTTTATTCAAGAAATAAAGTTAAGAAAATATCTGAAAGAATGTAAAAAGTGTTGAATTGACTGAAAATATTTCTTTATTAGCATTCGTTGTTCACAATAATAGTGCAGAAAAGTTACACTTCTTTGAGATTCAGACTTTATTTCAGAAAAGTTTATCAAATATTTAAACTTTATTTCGCAATGCATTGAAATAATTGTTTTGCAATTTATTGATTCAATTGATTGTGTGAATGAAAGTACGGTTTTATACGAATACAAGTCAACAAATACATCACCGGTGGTGGGGGTGTGGGTGGGGGCGCACCTGATGGCTCGCACGGGCTCTTTGTGTGCCTGAAACATCTTCACGTTATTCATATTGCTTTGCCAGTACTTGACATAACCCGTTTGGTCCGCCGTCACCATCCAGTGGTCCGAACGACTCCATGTCATCACTCGTACGGCGCTGTCGTGAGCCTAACGTTCATTGCGTCAAACAATTCATTACATTTTGTGACAACATTTAGAAATCATTAAATACTTGAAGAATAGTCTCGAAGTTGAATGTGAGTCCATTCCAGAGCGTGAACTCTCCACTCGACGCTCCGGTCACCAAACGTCGGCCTTCGGGCGTCCAAAGGACACAAAATATAGGGCAACGCATCTTATTAGTGGACGTCCGCACAAATTTGGTTGTAATACAATTGGACGGATTGTCCAACATATTCAACGGCGGGACCATCTGTTGCCACAAACAACACAAACAATGCATACATTTATACATATATTTCACAAATCAAACCATAATTAAGACCAAAAGCGATAACATATTTATTTTGCAATAAAATAAAAGCGAGAAATGGTTTATAAACCTCAGTATAGTATCCGACGTCCGGATGAAGCGCTGGGCAGTCCCTGTGGTCTCTCTGCCAGACGCGGGACTCAAGCATTTTAGTGACGGATGAGTTATAGTCGACAGTCTTTCTGGCGATGGCTTTGCGAAGACGTTTGCCGTCAAACTCCGTGGCCTGATATACGGCGGGAACGGGTGGTCGCGGTTGGAACACATAGAAACTGGTCGACGACTTCTGGTACTTATGGTAGGGCGAGGGCTGAGGCGGGCCTCCCGTATGGGGCGGACCCCCGGTATTGAACTGCGCTCTGTATGGCGACGAAGACATGGCCGACATTTTCTCCACGATTTGATAATAGGTTTTGTGCCAAAAATAATAGTAGTTTTCGATCAAAAAATAAATACAATTTTCTATACAATTAATGACAAAATGTTTTGACAAAAAATATGTGATTTGTTTATAAATCAATTCAACAAAAGTCTAACAAATGATAACATTATATACAAAATAACTAAATATTCATGTAATGGACCATCACTTCCAACACTTCCACTCAAGACACCAATCAAGTCAATAGTGTTTTTCAATTCAATTACATTTTATGAAATACTAATCAATTATTAATGATTCAAATCGTAATCATATCGTGTGTTGTCTTCAATAGTGTCCACAACTAGTCGTCCATTCAGTCAACCATTCATTCAAAGCAATGGTATTTCAAATTCAATTCAATTCAACTAAACATACAATAAATAAACCATTGCTTGCATTGAACGCCATATTCGCGTTGTTTTGTTCGCACNTGGTTAGCGTATAACATCGCGAATATAGTTATAATCAGGGAATTGCATTCTAGGTAAGTATAAGACACTATAATAAGTATGAAAAACAACCCAAATATTTACTCAAATAGTTACTTATAATTTGCCAAAATAGGCTTAAAAATCATATAGAATGTTACCATAAATCAGATTCACTCATTTAATAAATTGTAAAACTGTTATTAAGTTAAATCACTTTTATTTAACTAAATTAACTGTTAATTTTGGTCATAACCCTGAATATCTTACAACTCACAATTTTGACCATTCACTTGTTTCAAATGATAATTATTACCATATTTTATAATATCTTTTATATTTGTCATAGTGAGTGATTCACGCGGGAACGTGACACGATTAGCAACACTAATCTGGATTCAAGCCTAACAATAGTTTGGCTCACAGTTTCCATAGCAACCCCCACCACTGCTCAAAACACAACCCGTACTCAACGTCGAGGGCTTTTCACAAATTACGTCATTTATTATGCAATGTGTACTCTAATGGAGTCATTCATAGATAGCATCATTAAAATGATTGGACCCCCGATGTGGGGGGCAATGGTATGTGAATGAGTGAACCCCATAAGAGTGAGTGAGTGGTGGTGTGATGTTTGGCACGTCGTTAATGATTGTGTGAACAAAACAACGCGAATATGGCGTTCAATGCAAGCAATGATTTATTTATTGTATGTTTTGTTGAATTGAATTGAATTTGAAATACCATTGCTTTGAATGAATGGTTGACTGAATGGACGACTAGTTGTGGACACTATTGAAGACAACACACGATATGATTACGATTTGAATGATTAATAATTGATTAGTATTTCATAAAATGTAATTGAATTGAAAAACACTATTGACTTGATTGGTGTCTTGAGTGGAAGTGTTGGAAGTGATGGTCCATTACATGAATATTTAGTTATTTTGTATAT